CTCCAATTTGGAGATAAGGATTTGGTGGGGGACCATGTCAAAGGCCTTGCTCAAGTCCAGGTAAATAACATCAGTTGTCTTTCCCTTGTCCACCAAAGCTATCACTCCATCATAGAAGGCCACTAGATTGGTCAAGCAATGGGGATGAAGCCGTGCCGGCTGTCTTGGATCATACACTTGGATCACATTCCTCGTGTGATCAAGCATGTCGTCCAGGATGATCTGTTCCATGATCTTCCTAGGCACAGAGTTGAGACTCACTGGCCTATAGTTCCCCGGGTCCTCCTTGCTCCCTTTCTTGTAAATGGGAGTGACATGACCCTTCCTCCAGTCATCCAGGACCTTACCTGACAGCCACGACTTTTCAAATATGATGGAGCGTGGCTCAGCAAGCACCTTAGCCAGCTCCTTCAGGACCCTGGGATGCACGCCATCCAACCCCATAGACTTGTACACATTCAGTCTCATGAGGCAGTCTTGGACTTGCTCTGTCTTACAGTGGGGGGGGGGATTTACCATCCTGGTCCCCACCTAGAGGTTTAGGGGTGCAGGGCTCAGGGACGTGAGAAATACTGCAATCCTGGCTGCCAGTGAAGACCGAGGTAAAGAACTCATTAAGTACTTCAGCCTTCTCTTCATCCATTGAAGCCAGTTCTCCTTTTACATTTACTAAAGGAGGTACACTCGCTTTGGCCTGTCTCTTCTGGCCAATGTACTTGTAGAAAGTCTTCTATTGGTTTTCACATCCCTCGCCAAGTTCAGTTCTGCCTGCGCCTTGGCTTGCCTGATCCCATCTCTGCAAGTCCAAGTGGGTGGTTGTTGTTTTTTTTTTTGTTGTTGTTGTTTTGTTTGAGTATTGATTGGCATGCTCTGTTACATAAAGTACATTTTTTTCTTTTTGTTTTTCTGTGGAGATGCACACGTACGCACTCTGGTGATGCAGTTGTGATATATAAGTCATATATATTCAAACATAGGTTTGAATATGATTTATCAAATTAATTTTTATTAGCTACTCTAGTCTTCTAATTGATGTATAGATACATAATACATATATATTCCTCCTGTAGAAAAGCTGCTTTTGGCTATAATTAGTCATATGGTGTCTGAGTAGATATTAAGAAAGAAAGAGCGAATCGCACCTGAAATGCAATTTGTCCCTCACCTTTTTCTGAGAAACCAGGCTTTCAAATTTTCTTGAATTAATTAAAATAACACTAAAACCCTCAAATAGTGCAATACTCTTTTAAAGATGAAATACAGGCCAATTTTCACCTTGGCAATCAAAATCTAATTTAAAAAAAACTTTGAAGATGGATGTAGCATTATAGGAAAGGACAAATATGAGTATGAAGTAAGTATATACACTGAGAAGATGTACATGCAGTTAGGACTTTGATGAACAGTAGTAATAGGCAGGGTCAGAATTTGAATAATCATTGTGTATGTTGATAATTTACTGTAATAACTGACAGAAAAAGACAGAAGAAAGATAGTGGCTTTGAGAGCCTGGACTGAGCTTTTTGTGGAAAATTGTGTAGGACAGACTAATACCTGTGATTAGCTCAAAGGGCAGGGCAAAAATATGTGTGTTAGCTAGGTGATTGGATGTTGCTTGAATTATTTCAAATATATTTGTTTGAAATAATTTGTTGTTTGAATATTTTCAAACATATTTGACTCGTATATGCTTAAATTCTCCCCCTCCAAATGTGTTGAACAACATATATATAACATATATGCTGTATTCATCTGAGGTAGAGGAGTAGAGGAAAGAAATGGTGTATTGCCAACTTTGGTGCCCACTATCTGACATCATCTTACAAAAAGGATGGGATTTGTATTGCACATACTGCTAATGACAGTATATATCCTCCATTTGTCTTTGTTGAATATTTGCTGAATACCTATGTGTTTTTTTTCCCAATTTTCAATATCTCTCATTAATAAATAAACTATAAATAAACTTCATTATTGAAGCCCACTGCTGAAAACTAAACAGAAAGGACAAAAGGATTTTTTTCTGTTTGTCAATCCAACAGCAAATCTCTCTTCTGATAGCTTTGAGCAGCCTACTGGTTTTACAGAGGCCTATGTATGTTTGCTTTGGTGAGCTGCAACTAACAGACAGTATAATTATAGTATGCTCTGCTTATTACTTCAACAGGACTTTATGCAACTTTGTTTTCATATTTATTCAAAACTTCGTATTCATCAGAGCTTGTTCTTAATTAAGTGAAGTTGTAAATGGAAGACAAGTCATTTAAGTTTCATTTTTTGTATTAACTGTTAAAATAGCCTGTAATAAATGTATTGGTAGTAAGTTTCGTTTAGCAGTAATTTTTAGTAGAACCTTGGAATTTGATTGTATTTTTATTTGAATCTTTATTCATGTAGGGCTTTCGTTTTAAGTATCAAGTAGCATGATCTCAAGGAAAATTTATATGTTTGTTGTTTTTAAACATTTTATTAATACAGGATTTTCTGTGCTTTAATATATGGCACCGTATCAGTTTTGTAATTTGCCTTTAAGAATTTAATTGAGTAAATAAATTCATTATTTTCCATTCTAATATGAAACAAAGTATTTGGGAAACTTTTGACTAATTTAGCTGGCATGAGAATATGAGAACAGCATATTTCTATAATGTGTAACTTTCTGCTACTTTTTCTGTTAGTCTTGCTAGAGTTCATAAATGAAAGAGGCCTTTGTCTCAGGATTTTTCTTTGGTAATCTGAATTAATATTTGTTTGAAATGACATAAATTGCTAGAGGTAAGAAATAGTACTTTTTTCACTTGAAACTCTTCAACTGAAGAGTTTCAAAGATCTAGTCCAATTAGTCCAATCCAGTGATATTATTCATTTTGTACACTAAAAGTATATGGTAAATTCACTCTGATGTGCGTAGATGGCTTATGTAATTTTGTAAATATCTGATACCTCTGAAGCCTTAGCCTTCCACCTGTTCTGTGGAGTGTATACATTCAGTACAACTGAGTTCCTGCAAAAATATTCTATTTGAAGAATAATAAAGCACTAAGAACGCATGTTAGTGTTCTGAGATTCTGTATTCAAAAATGGTGTCACTTCTCAGTTTGACAAATGTTCCTTAAACCATTAAACAAGGCAATAAAATGGTTGTCATCTGAGCTCCCAAACACTTGTGAAATTATGGATTTGTCCTTATGCTAATCATAATCCTTTTATAAATATCATATTTTAACTGAATATTTTTATTTGAATACTCAAAGTTCTGCAGTAAAGTTAATTGTCTTCTTTTAAGCCTGACGATTATGTAACAATGAATACTTATTTTGACAAAAGCCTGAATGTCTGTTTATAATTAAATCTTTAAAAAATTCCATTGCTGATTTTTTTTTTTTTAAATTGATGAAAAATGTGGATTTTTTGTTTTTAGTTTTACTTTCTGTCTACAAGATGTGTTGCTTAGTAAGCACTATTCTGGTATAATATTTATTTGATAATGGATCGTATCTGTTGATGTAGCATATAATAAAAGGTCTTTGAACACCATTTAGATCAGTAGTCCTTGGTCAGTAGAGTTCTGACAAAAAAGGAAAAAACAAAAAATCCAACCTCCACTACTTCAGATATGTATTATAAAATGTCAGCATTATTCTGCACTCAAGCAAACTTATGGACAGACAAACCTTTTCAGCACCTACTAATTATGTAGTGCTATGTCCAAACAGTAAACAGTAGTGAGGAAGAAGATGGTTCCTGAGCATTTATTTTTCATTTTAAAAATAAATGTATTTAAAACTTAAAAAAAAGAGAGTGAAAAATCTGCACATATCCATAAATAAATACACCAAACCGATGTGTTGAACCATTGTTTTTTTTTTTCCCAGAGTATTTTCCTTAGTTGCACTGCTTTTAGTTTTGTGCAGGAAGGAAATCAAGATTCTTCTTTCCCATGTACTGCAGCATTGCCTCAGTGGTCATCTTTTTTCATAATCAATTACTTTATTACGTACTGGATTCTTAGTTGCCTTACAGGATCTGTAATGCATGGCTGTGGCACAGTAACAGGGAATATGAATTTTGGCCCATAGAAGGAAATAGTGCAATGATATTTTTTTGTAATTGCTGTGAGTATTTGAAACAGTTTTCATGGTTTTTAGCCAATTTTTATCCCTATATTTTTAGGACTGGAAATTCTCACACACACACACAAAAAAAAAAAAAAAAAAAAAAAAAAAAAAAAAAAAGTAGTATTTCTAATCAGCTATATGATATCTTTGTGTTCTTCAAAAGAAAAAAAAATGCTATTAAATTTCGATTAAATCTTAGTATTCGTGCTAAATGTGTATGTGGTAAACAAGCTTAGATCTAGTGATATTAAGCAGCAGAAGTACATTCCACTCCTCCTTCATTCTGAAGGCACACTGCTACTATTTTTGCTGCATCTGCTTTTGAATATCCAGAATGAAGATAGAGATGAAGACAGTTCATGGTAAATTCAGTGATGTCTTCTGATTAGTCCTAAAAATAAATAAGTAAATAAATAATCCACTATTTCCCTTTTTCCTTTCCCCTCTTTCTTCATCTAAATCATTTAACATACACTGATTATTTTGACTGGCTATTACGTAATCTTTTGTATGTTTCAGGAATCTTTTTTGTCACCTCATGTTCCTGAACTTTGAAAATGGAAATCTTAGCTAATTAATATTGTTATGTATTTAATGAGTGACTTTGGATGCTGGAACTTAAGCATTAGGACAGTCTGTTTGGTTCAGAAAGATGTTTCCTGGGCAAATTACTTATGTTGTTAAGATGATAGAGGTGTTTTAATTTGAACCTGGCTTTCTTTAGTACAGTGTACTTCTATTACCAAATCAGATTTGATTTAGGGTCATGCTAATTTGGGGCAGAATATGATCATGATAAACTTCTAGGAAGGAAAAGGGTGAGAAGTGTTACATTTATGAAATATTTTTAATACTTACACTAAACGTTTTCATTTTACAAAGGAAATTATCAAGAAAGCGTTAATGGAGGAGCAAAAACGAAGTGAAAAGGCAATCGAAGAAGCTGTTAAAAGGACAAGAGAGGAACTAATGGAATATATTAAGGAGCAGAAAAGGGTGAGTTACCAGAGGCTAAAGAGTTTTATTTCCTGGAGTGAAAAATCTTGAAATCTGTCTTGACATTCACGAAAAGACAGAATCAGGAGTAATATCTTTAAATTTGTCTAACAGTTTCTTGTAGTATAACATAGTTCTACATGTCAATTTATAGAATTTTAGGTTTTTTGCAAATCAAAAGGCAGAATAATAAAATGAATAAATTAGCTAGTTTATTACTTTTTTCTTTAGGAAATTCTATAACAATCTGTCCTTAATTTCTTAGATTTCTGCTATCTTCAGGAGTGGAGACCTCCATTTTCTTTCCACCTACACCCACAGTTAGAGCTCCTTGCCTTTATTCCATTTTCTGATTGCTGTCAATCTTTCTTGTCCTTCTGAAGCCTTCACAAATAAGAGAAACAAAATACCATCTTCATAGAAACAAAATTGTTTTCTATTTATCTAGTAGGAATAGCATTTCCACTTGTTTCATAGAGTTCTTGAATATCAAGTTATTGCAATAATTTTTTTTTCCTTTATTACTCAATTGCTACATATTTCTATTCAATAAAAAATTTCCTATCTGAGGACAGTTAGCTTTTCTGGCATAAGATCTATAAAATTACTGTATTTAAGATCAGATGGGAGGATATTTTTATCTTCAAATCCTGACACATGGTAGCTTTTTTATTTTATATAAGAGATATGATAAATAGGCCTTGATCAAAGGCAATGTACCTGTCAGAGTTAAAAAAAAAAAAAAAAAAAAAAAAACAACTTTATTAACTACACTAAAAAACAGCCTGTGGAAAGAATTTTTTAAAATAGTTTAGTGAAAACTGGTAGCTTTCGTATGTTTTTTTTCCTTGAATTATTTAGAGAGTTCCAGCTATGCCTTTACAAAAGTAGCATACCTTTCATCATTGCTTTGAAAATAAGTTTTAGAATCCTTCAAGCAAGGCTACTACAATATCTGTACGTGGTTAGGAGTGGTTAAGCACTTTAAGAAAAGAGCAAATTCTTATCCAGAAACTTCATCTTATTTTGTGATAGCGTAAGATACTTTTTATTTTTTTAATGGTAAATGCAGTATTGTGTAGGAACTGTTGAGTAATGACCTGAACCACTGATTGAGCACCTGGGGAAAGCATCCGGTCAGCCCTGAGAGCACGATCAGCTGTGTGAATAGAAGGGGCGGAGTCTGGCTCCACTGCTCTTAGACCTCATTTGAGATAAACATTAAGAGGGGGAAATGAAAAATTAAGCAACAATATCATAAAGGTAAAATGCCCAAGGCAAGGATAGTGTTACTATTTACTATGCATTCAAGCCAAAATGTTTAAATCAAATGGGGAATGTCATCAGTTTTTCACCTTTAAAGATTAAAGGACATTGCAAACTAAAACAGAAAATGAAAATCCAATTGGTAATGTGTCATTTGAGAAAATAAATGAAAAGTAGACAATGTGATCTCATTATGATCTTTTAATACTCCAAATATAATCCCAGGTTTTTTTAATAGCACTAATTTGGCAGTAGCTCAATATATATACTTCAGTTTTCTTTTATTTGTTGCATTTTCAAGGAATAATTTTTTACTAGAAAATTGTGTATGTTGCTGTGAGAATCTACATATCTAAGTTATGAAGGATGTTTTGTGGAAATTTGACCCATTATTATTTTGTAATTACTTCGTAACTACTACTGTTCCCAGTGTTCTTCAAAGCTGAAATATAGAATAATACTGCTATATCTGGTGAAAGAAATCTTCAAAAGCTATCAGATTTGTAGAGGTTTATATAAATCTTCATGATACCTTAAAGAACTTTTCCAAGTCAAATTTTAATATACTTGCTACAGGCAATAACCAGACATTATTTTTTCATCAGAGGTACACCCATGCTAGGTTCAGAAAATATCTTTATTAATTTTCTGAAATTTTGTTTGACTCTGTAGTATTGGTAGGTCATTGTTTGAACAGAAGTACTGAAAGCAAAACTATGCTTTACTGTCTTGCTAGAGTAAGGCAGAAATGAGTAGAGGGCAGTGAATTCTAACACAGATGAAAGAAGAAGGCAGGTATTAAAGTAGGATTAAATGACAAGCCACGACTTTCACTTTAATTTATCATAAAAATAAATGTTATTTCTAGTTTATATCCAGTGCATAGATATAACACAGTATTGAGTGCCTCATATATTAATGAGACTTGGATATAGAGGGAAGCACTTTGGTTAAAAACAATAAAGAAGAACTTTTCTGTGAGCATCCACATTTGTCTTTTCTGACATAAGCTCAAGATTTACTAACTCATTTGCTAGTGTTGTCTTTTGTGGTTTGAAACTCATAATCCTATAACCTCAGGACTTGCATTTCTGACTGCTGTGAAAATAGTGAGAACTATGACAGACTCCAGTGTTTTGAGTCCCCCAAGATGCAGTAAATCACGTAGGCCAGCCATTCAGACCCTTGTGCATGTGTTACTAATTGAATGGAGAATGCTCTTCCAGTTTTTGCATTGTTTCTAAAAATTCTGGTGTTTGTTTTCAAATTGAATGTATCTGAAAGGGTTCCCTGGTACTAGGTGTAATAGCTGTTAGTTTCTTTTTTCCTCAGTCTGTTATGCAAAATGCTGATGTAGTAGTATATACTTATATGTTGGTATGTAGGCCTTTTATACCTATACGTAATAGGTATACGTATTACTAGGAGAACATGGCAAGGAGTTTAATAGCATGTAAACTATAACCTTTTATTACAACTCCCGAACTGACATCCATGGACTATGAGATAAAGACACAGCAGGTGACTTACCTCAGACCTGTACAACTGTATTACTTTTGTAATACATTTTTTTAATACAAATTTTTGATTGAAAATTTGATTAATGTGGTACTTTTCTAGGAATATAATAAAAGGCTTCTTATGTGGTCTTAATTTGACACTTTAGCTCATTCTGTGAGCACTTTTTGTTTTAGTATTGGAGTAATGAATTAAGTGAACAGAAGCATAACTTTGTTCTAAAGTGCTGACTTTTGCAAGCAGTTTCAAGGAATTTTCACATCTGTTGTTTGCTCCCACGTGCAATGTAATTAATTACAAGATTGATTTAAATTCTGTAGATACGTTATAAGTATTCCAAGTCTGTGGTTAGAAGAATAAAAGAAGCTTGTTAGCTTCCTGTGTAAAGTAATGCTTGGACAACACCTTCGCCATAGCATTTTGTTTACGTTCTGACTCCTTTCAATGATGCAAGATGTAAAGAAAGCAAAGTGCAGTCTAAAAAATATGCAACAGTTCATGGAAATGTAGAGTAGGACATACTACAGGGAGACAATCCAAGTCACCTGATTAACAGGAATAAGAATTGATTTACAAACCAGGAACAAACTTGAAAACAAATTGTAAAATAACAGGAAAGCAGTATCTGAAAACAAAATCAATATTGATATTGGATTGTACTAAGTTCCCATGCTTCTTAATTTTACTTTGAAGTAGTGAAACCATTCATAAAGGCCATGTTTTGTCTTATTTGTATTCATAATGTGGAATTGCAGATTTTTCTTTGTATGCAAGAAGTTTGGTGCCTTCTGTTCCACAAAGGAAATTTCTGAATGTTATGTTTTACATGACTAGTTGAAATTATTTTTTTATTAAATTGCAGGCAAAAAGCAAGAAGAGAAGCTTAATAAATATTAAAGTTAAGCTATGCAAAGCAATATTAAAATAATTCAAACGTCTTAAATGATTGAAATAAATGAACTTTATTTACTGCTTTCAACTGAAATAGTTGGTGTTTTCATTTACAAAAACTACTAAATTAGTTTATGGGAATTTGGGTAAATACTGTAGCTGGGTAGTCACACAGCATTTTCTGTTTCTAGCAGATGAAACTGTGTAGAGATCCAGGTGGATTCTAGCAGTAACACATAAATATTTTAAAATAAATTATGCATTCCTTTAGTAATTTTTTATTACTAAAGGAATTATATACTTAAATACTTGTATACTTGTTGTATACTTGCCTTATATACTTGTTTTGCCAGTGGACAGGGTCAGCACAAAGGTCACAGAGACCAAGATAAAGAAGTATATTTATCTTTTCTTAAGTTTAAGTTTTTCTTAAGTTTTCTTAAGCAACGAGATAAGAAGTGAAATGATACAAGAAGAATAAAAGAGAGCAAGGCAATGCACCTAAGCACTATTTCATGAGGATAGCAATGGTGATCAGGAAGGATACATCATCAGTTGTCCTAACATTTTACCATAATCCAACTCCACTCTTGCTAGGGAGATCCTGTTGCAGTGAGGACTTGGAGAGCCTTTCCTAGTAATTGCAAAGTCCTACATAGTGTGTCCACTTGTAGATGAGTTCTCTAACTTTGCTAAAAGAGGGTTCAGCTATTGTATTGTCCAGTAAATAAGTTTATGTGACAATTAGGCGGAAACATCTGCTTTCATTATCTACCTCAAACCTGGCCAGGTCCTAAGGAGGAACCAAAGAAGTTTGTGTACCAGTAACGCCTTGACACTATGCTTCTAAACAAGGAAAGGTTAATATATACTCATGACACTTTATCTAAGCTACATCTCTTGGGCATTTTGTCCAAGATGCATATTTTGCTAATGATCAGATACTGATGATCCCCAATGTTTGGTTGTGAGAGTCATCTTGAGGTCAACTTTGGTTTGAGGCCTACTTGTTCAGGCCTTAGTATCTCAATACTGCATGTAGAACGGAGAAAAAAATAGGAATTGAATATATTATTAGCATTATAATTAATTAGCTTTTATTAACTTCTCGGTTTTCTTTCCTGTTCATTATGTATCCTAGCACCACTAAACTTATAAGCAAAAAGACTGTGCTACAGTAGTTAGCAAAAAAAAACTTGTATTCTTGTATTCAGTTCACTGCTGTATCTTTAATGTTCACTTCTGTGAACTTTAGACTCTAGAGCACTAGAGTGAGTCTCAAACTATACATACGAATTTGGTGAATTCAATTAAAAGTTCATTTT